TTAAAGGGCACAACCCAGAAGTTGCACATGTCACTTCTCACTTCTCCTGGACCACAGTGAAGTTACAGGCAGCATGTCTAGGTGAAAGGGAAGCTGGGAAATGTAGTCTTTAGCTGGGCGGCTAAAAGTTGGTGTCTGATTGCTAAAGGAGGCAGGGGGTGGTGAGAAGCCCCTGCTCCACCCTCCTGCTACAGTGAGGATGAGCTGGGTTTCACCGTCAAGACGCCCAGCACCCAAATCTCAGAGTCTCAGTGCAGCCAAGGCTGGTTTCTCACTCACAGCCAGCATGACTGGCAGGAGCCCCCATCACGGCCACTGGACGCCCCGTCTCGACGCAGGGGAAGGGGACACGCAGCAGACTGGACTCTGGTGCGAGTGCCACAGGACACCTCCTGTCGCTTGCCCCTGGTCAAAGTGAACTCCAAGGTCATGGCAGCCCTGGGCTGCAGGGTAGACAGGGGGGGGGGGCAGCGAGGTCCTGCTCAGAATAGTTAGGAACAGCAACGATGGCCCCCGCACCATGGAGGCGCTGGTCCTCTGCTCTTTGGTTCTTCTCGCCTGCTCCTCAGCCTCTTTGGTCAGTACCTGCAGATTTGGGTAAGAGGACATGGGTAAGACCTACACTGGCCTGTTAGCAAACAGGAGAACCAAGCAAATCGAATGAAAGGAAAAAAAAAGAAAAAAACCTTTACTTTAACCACAATTTGCCTTTAGGCAAGATTACGGGTCTGTGTGTTTCATGCATAAATTTAATAAACTCATAAAAGAGAGGTATAAAACCTAAATTCACTTGCCAAACAAAATAATTATAGTAAAGCTGCGCCACATTGTTATGGACAGAGTAACCCCCCACACACACACACGCACACTGATGAGGTCACAGGGTGGGGCTCTTGTGGGAAGAGATGCCAGAGAGAGTGCTTGTTTGCCGAGTACTCGGTGAGAAGGTGGCCTGTGCAAGCCAGGAAGAAAGCTCTCACCGGAGCCTGGCCATGCCGCTACCTCATGCTGGACTCCTCACCTGCAAAACTGTGAGAAAATGCGTTTTTGTTGTTTCAGTCACCCAGTCTACGGCACTTTGTAAAAAATGTATTTATGAGAAGGGCAGAAAATCAGAGAGAGACAGAGAGACAGAGGCAAAGAGACTGTCCACCCATTGACTCACTTCTCAAATGGTCACAATAGCCAGGTCTGGGCCAGACCGACACCAGCAGCCAGGAACTCCATCCAGGTCTCCCACGTGAGTGGCAGGAGCCCAAGTACTCGGGTCATCTTCCACTGCCTTCCCAGGAGCATTAGCGGGAACCGGAATTGCAGGGGGAACACAAACCAGCACTCCAGTACAGACACTGGTGCCACAGGTGGTGTTTTTGTTGTTGTTGCTTTTTTTTTAATATTTATTTTATTTATTTGAAAGACAGAGTTACAGAGAGAGGTAGAGGCAGAAAGAGAGGTCTTCCATCCACTGGTTCACTCCTCAGATGGCCGCAACAGCCAGAGCTGTGCCAATCTGAAGCCAGGGGCCAGGAGCTTCCTCTGGGTCTCCCATGCGGGTGCAGGGGCCCAAGGACTTGGGCCATCCTCCACTGCCTTCCCAGGCCACAGCAGAGAGCTGGATCAGAAGTGGAACAGCCAGGACTAGAACCGGCGCCCATATGGGATGCCAGCGCTTCAGGCCAGGGCTTTAACCTGCTGCGCCACAGTGCTGGCCCCACCCATGTTTTGTAATGGCAGCCTGAGTCTGCTAAGATACATATTAGGGTAGTATATCAGGTTTGAGTTTAGGTTTACATTATAGAAAACCTGAAATAACTATAACGTAATCCAGATAAAGCTTGATTTTTTCTTTAACTCCCTCTGATTTAAACAAATCTGGAGGTGGATAGCTCATGTCTTGGGGCAGGGAGCTCTCCTTGTTTCCTCTCAAATCCAATCAAGAATGTGTCTTTCTGGAGGCTGGAGGTGACGCCTGGTCAGCTGCGTGTCTTCAGGCCTTCGCGGTTGGGTGTCCGGTGACAGCACGTGGAACGAATGAGCAAACGAAGGAATGAGAGGAGAACCAGGCACCGCTTCTCTGAGGGGGCTGCTTGTGCCTAGAACTGGTTTTCTCTTCACAAAATGTTTATTTATTTGAAAGGCAGAGTTACACAGGAAGAGATGGAGGGAGATTTCCTGTCTGCTAGCTTACTCCCCAGATGGCTGCAACGTCTGGGGCTGGGCCAGGTCAAAGTCAGGAGCCAGAAACTCCAACCAGGTCTCCCACGTGGGTGGCAGGAGCCCAAAGACTTGGCTCATCATCGGCTGCTTTCCCGGGGGCATTAGCAGGCAGCTGGACTGGAAGTGGAACAGCTCGGAACTTTGGCCGCTGCTGAACCCGCCGCACCACAGTGGTGGCCCTGCCTATACCCTTCTGGTTTTTGTATGTCTGAAGGGCACTCTGCGCATGAATAACATTGGGTGTAACTGGGGCATGAGATGTGGAGATACAGGAGCCCGCACTGAGACTCCAGGACCAGAGGGGGTGAGGCTGGAGCCCGGGGACCCTGGGGGGAGCCGGAGGACAGCAGCAGGACACGAGGCAGCAAGAGCAGCGCTTCCCACTGCCCGCGCTCTCCACGACCTGAATTTCCTGCAACTGTCCCCACCTCCCTCCTCTGCCCTCCTTCTCTGTCTCAGGTTGCTCACCCTCCCCCAGCCCCCTTAAGGAGACTTGGCATAGACCCAGGACCTGCAGAGAGTATCAGGAGTTTGTCATCATCCCGCCCCCAGCACCCTGGGTGGAATCATCTCATCGTGTCTGTCACGTTCTCAGGTTCTGATTGTTCCAGCTGAAGCAGTTTCTAGCATCTGCATAAAATGATATGTAAAACATATCATATCTCTGTGCCTTACAGAACACACAAAAAAGTGGAGTAAGTGCTAAGAAAGGGAGCAGTATGGAATGCTTCAGTAACATATTTACCCCACTTGGGGGGTACACCAGGGGTTTTCTAGGAGAGATGAGAGACAAAACACCCTGTAACAACAGCAGCTTACACAAAGTGGCTTATCTCCCCATTACAGCTGCCAAGTGTGGCCCCTTTGGTTGCCTCATGGTTCAAGATGACTACTGTAGCTCCAGCCATTACATCCACATTCCAACTCCAAGCCGGTACTAGTGAACGAAGGGATTAGACTCAAATTAAGCCGTAAGTAGTGTTCTATAGCCTCCCCTCGAAAGCAATATTCATCCATGTGCAGAGTTAAAAAACCACAGGACAAAGAGCTAAGGCAGCTGCGCTGGCCCTGCCAAGCCTTCAGACAGTTTCGGCCTGGCTTCCTGGCAGCTGCGGTCACTCAGTCGGCTGACTTCGTCCAACGTGAGAGATGCCTGCCGAACCAACCGTGTGGCCTCCGACGGGGGTCGCCAGGTGCTGCCTGGGGGCGGGTGGCTGAGGCCGCCTCCCTCCCAGACCCCTGCCGCCGGGGCTGGGGTCGGAGGGACGGACAAGGGCAATCCCTGACGAGGCTCGGTCATCCATGGGGCGCCCGTAGGAGGAGGAACCTGCGTCCCGCAGGGGCAGTGAGGTCTTGGCCAGCGGGATTCACCCCCACGACCCCCAGAATCTTCCACAGAAACCCGAGTCCGCGGAGTGGCAGAGCGCCGGCACACACACACACACACACAGAGCCCCGCCGCGTGCCCAGGCCTCTGGTCCTGTGACCCCGTCCTTCCCATTCCGTCCCAGCCGGTGGCCGTCACCAGCGATGACCGCTGAACAGCTAACGAGGCGCTGAGCCCGGGGCGGCACGGCTCGCTGGGTCTCGGGGGTTCGCCTCCTGCGACCCCGTTTCCACCAAACGTGGCTCACAGCGAAGGGCTCTCCCCCGGGCCCGGCTGTCCCGCAGGGCCGGCACCAGGGCCCGGCCTCTCCGCTGGGCAGCGTGCAAACCCCGGGCACGCGAGGATGTCTGTGGTTTAGACAGCGCTGCGCGCCCGCACGGGACGGACCCGGGGTGGCCTGCGCCTCGGAGCACGGGGCGCTTTTGGGGAAACTACACAGAGCCCTTGGGGCAGCGCCCCCGGCGCCCCCGGCCCCAAAGGCGCTGCTGTCCGCCCAGGGACTCGGTCCACGGGCGCTGCAGTCCCGGCGCTAACCCGTGCCATGGAAACGCGTGCCCGGCCTTGGGCGAGGCCGCAGCCCGAGCTCGGCCCTTCCAGCTCGGCCCCAGTCCTGGGAGTCCGCGCTAGGGGCGCCCTGAGAAGCCTCGTGCACGTCCAGCCAGGTCACCCAGCACACCCACGCCCGCTCGCCCGCCGGAGCCGCCGCGAGGCGTCTGCGCAGGCGCACTCGCCCCGGGACGCGCGGCGCAGGCCGGCCCAGTGGGCGTGCCCAGAGGCGGAGGGGCGTGGCCAGAGGGCTGCGGGGGCGGGGCCGGGCGCCCAGCGCGCGCGGGGCCAGGGTCTCGTGGGCCGTCCCGTGGGTGTGGCTCGTGTGGGACGGGGACGGTGTCTCGGGGTAACCCAGAGGCCCGCGAGGAGGCCGCCCTGCGCGGCCGCGGGATAGCGACGGGGGCCGGCAGCGGCGCCCGGACGTTGGCGGGGGGGTCACATCCGGCGGGGGGGGCGGGCCTCGTGGATTCCGGAAGTGTGGGCGCGGCTGTGGCTTAACCCGCGGTGGCGGCGGCGGCCCCGGCAGGTGAGCGGGGCCTGGGGAGGGTCCCTTCCCGGCCACGCGGGCGGGGCCGAGGGCGGGGGGCGGGGGTGGCGCCGGCGCCGGCTCCCGGCTCGCCCCCGCTCGCCCGCCTCGTCCTGGCAGAGGCCGGTGATTGGGCGCGAGGGCCGCGTGACTCGCGCCGGGGCTGGCACCCCTACCCTTGGCGATGGGAGGGAGGGGAGAGCTCGAGGGGCCGCCCCGGCCCCTCCCGCGGGTCGCGCCCCACCCCTCTCCGGCCCCTGCTTCTCTGCAGCCCCTGGTTCCTGGAAGTGAGCATCTTGCAGTTACGGTGCTGGTGACCTTAGAGCCAGTCTGCCCATTGTACAGATGGAGAGACTGAGGCCGGCGGGGTCCGACTCGCCACAGGCCGGTGGCAGAGTGGGGTGGAGGGCACTCATGTTTGATTTCCCGGCCTGTGTGTTTTTCTCAGGCCAGGAGAGGATGGAGCTTCCAGCCTTGACTCTGCCCTTGTCCTTTGTTCTGGAGCCAGACCGGGTCAGCCCTTACGCCTGGGCCTTCAGGGTTCAAGGGGAAGTGGTGTCTGCCTGTCTTCGTTCCGTTTCCTCCTCACATCTGGCCAGGTGCTTTCCCACTGTGGCTGGGGAGAAGGGGGCGGGGGCCGGGTGTCAGGGCCCGCCCAGCTGGCCTCCACGCCCCGCACTGCGGGCTCGCCTTCTCAGCGACACCTGTCACCCTCCTGGGAATGCCTGTCTTCGTCCCAGCACACTTCAGGGACCCGGCCCCTCCTCCTCTGCACTGTCCCAGTTCTGTCTGCCTCAGACCCTGGCCACTGCCTTCCCTGGTTCCGTGCCTCTTGCCCAGGAGTGCTGTTTTCCTACGGGGGCACCGGGTCTGCGACTCAGGCCCAGAGCTGGAAGTGGAGGTGACCCCGGACTTGGGGAGGAAAGACTTTGGCTGGTTCCAAGCTGGGGCTCTGGCTGGTGGGTGGGTCTGAGGACCGCCTGTTGTTGGGGTGCAGGACTGGATGCTGAGGGAGTGTTTGCTCTTGGTGGCCGCAGCGCCCAGGATTTTTCCTAGATTATCCTGGAACTCTGGCCCTGTGCCTGTGTGATCCATTAGTCAGAAAATGCTCCTTGCTGACTCCTTCCTCCTGGCAGCCTCTGGTGGCTGCTTGGCAGGTGCAGTCGCGATAACTCTGATGTGTTGCTGGGTGGGGGCCACACTGGATTCTGCAACACTTCCAGGTGGGTGGTGAGCCCCTTTTACAGGTGCGGTGAGCCCCGAGATGTTAGGGAACCTGGCCAGTGTCACACAGCCTATGAGCGCCTGCGTTGCAGTTTCTAACCCATCAGTCTCACCTCCACGGTAAATGTGATTTTTACAGCAAGATTTATTTGCTTTGAAAGTCAGAGTTACAGGGAGGGAAAGATTTTCCGTCCACTGATTCTCTTCTCAGATGGCCACAACAGCCAGGGCTGGGCCAGGCCAAAGCCAGGAGTACAGGGGCTTCGTCTGGGTCTTCCAGGTGGGTGGCAGGGGTTCCAAGCATTTGGGCCATCTTCAGCTGCTTTCCCAGGGACATTAAAGGGAGCTGGATCAGAAGTGGAGCAGCCAAAAGTTGAACTGGCGTGCATACAGGATGCAGGGTTACAGGCTGCGGCTTAAGCTGCTGCACCACAACACTGGCCCCATAAATGTGATTGTTTAAAAAAAAAAGTCTATTAATTTATTTTTATTTGAGAGACAGATCTACAGAGAGGAAGAGAGAGAGAGAGACCTTCCCATCTGTTTATTCCCAGATACTCACAACAGCTGGTGCTGGGCCAGGCCAAAGCCAGGAGCCAGGAATTCCATCAGGGTCTCCTGTGTGGGTAGCAGGGGCTCAAGGACTTGGGCCATCATCTGCTGCCTTCACCTAAAAAGGAAGCTGGATTGGAAGCAGAGGTGGGACTTGAACCCGGCACTCCGGTATGGGATGCAGGCATCCCAAGCAGTGGCTTAAACCCCAGGTCCACAGTGCCTGCCCGGAGTGTGCTGCTGACTTGCTGATTTTGCCTCTCAAAGTCCTCAGTTTCCTAAATTTGCTGGGCCTGGGGACGACTCTGTGATGCCTGCTCAGGGTACAGAGCCCTGCCCCTGGAGATTGTGTCTGGAGGGGACCCCAGGTATCGCCTTTGGCAAGTGCTGTGGGCGATTCCTGCTGTAAGGAGGTGTGGGAAGCCCTGCCCCAGGAACTCTGTTGATTTGCTGGGCCCTGGGAGCCTGGGAGAGAGGTGGTTACTAAGGATTCCTGTTTGCTTCTTGCTTTGCAGTGTGGTAATGAAGGGACGTGGGGATAAGTAGCCTTGTCATCATTTCTGGACGCCGTTGGCCAGCAGTAGTAGGGTTTTTCCAGGCTGACCTAATCTGGTCATTGGAGACCTTGTTTCAGTGTGTCCTGTGGAAATTCTGTGGCAGGTTTCCTCGCAGGATCTGTGGTTTTCAGAAGGTTCTGGTGTGTTCCTGGATGATTGCCCCATGACAAAGGAGTCTCTGTAGTGGCAACAGTCTCTTGGGTTGTGCTGACTTTAAAGTCCTGTTTACTTAGCAGGTACCCCCTCAGCTTCACTTCTTTGTTTGCTTTCATTGGTTTATGTGAGAGACTGAGCAAATTCCAAACAGGTTTGTCTTGCTTGAGTCTGACAAGTGGGGCCCTCAGGGTTTAGGCTGGGCCGGTGAGGAACCATGCGCTTCAGATAACTCAGGTCAGGTAGGCCTAGCGCTGCAGACTGGAAAATACTGAGTCTCACTGCGGACTTACCTGGTCCTTCCTCAGCAGGATTACATGAGCTAAAGGGGGAAATCCACAGTACCCTTTTATTCCCTGGTCCAAGAAACCTTGACCTCATACTTGGTGTGACTGGAATTGTTTCAGATCTACTGAGACTTGTTTTCTGGCCCAGGGTGTGTCTGTGTTGGTTAATGTGCTGTGAGGTTGTGGGAAGAATGTGTGTCCTGCTGTTGGGTGGCATCCTCTGTGCATTTCTGTAGAGCCAGCTGGTCGGGGCTATGGATTCGGTATGGTTCGGGTGAGCCCAGGGACCGTGTTTAAAGCCTTGGTCCGCAGGCGGTGCTGCTGGAAGGTGATGGTACCTTTAGGAGGTGGGGCCTACGGTGAGGTCCTTGGGTCACTGGGGTATCAGATAGTTCCCGTTCAGCCCCCTTGGTAGTCTTGTGAGACGGTGGTTACAGTGGAAGCGAGCCTGGCCCTTCCCTCCCTCTCTGCTCTTCCGGTTTGAGATGTGACCACTTGTTCCAGTGTGCACTGCTGCTGTTGCCATAGGCCATCCGCTGTCTCCCATCCGCCATAAGGCCCTCACCAGAACCGAGTGGTTACAGGTACCATGCCCTTGACTTCCAAAACTGTGAGGTAAATGAACATCTTTTCTTTCTAAGTCACCCATGTTAGGTATTTCATTATGAGAACTAGAAGCTGACTAATTCAGTGGGTAGTGTTGTCCAAGCCTTGTGTCCTGTCTGATTTTCTGTGTACTGTTCCATCAGTTATTGAGAGAGCGGCATTGAAACTTTTGACTGTAATTGTGGGTTTGACCATTTCCCCTGGTAGTTTTGTATATTTATTTAAGAATTTAGTTCTTTATTTTCATTTTATTTGAAGGGCAGAAGGACAGAGACAAAGAAGCAGATGGAGAGAGCTCTTCCATCCAGTGGTTCACCACCAAATGCCCACAGCAGCGAAGGCTGGGCCAGGTCAAGGTCAGGGGCCTGGAATTCAATCCGGGTCTCTCCATCTGGTATGCAGGGACCCAGGGTGTGCATTAGCAGGAACCAGGCAGTTCAATGTGGAATGTGACGTCTTAAGTGGTGACGTAACTGCTGAGCCAGATGCCCACCCTCGCCTGGTAGTTTTATCAGTTGTTATTCATGTGTCTTGAAGCGCTGTTGTTAAGTGGGTAAACATTTCCCTGGATGCATTTACCTCTTATAATGAAATGCCCCTTTTGATCCCTGTAAATGTTCTTTTGCCCTGAAATCCACTTTGCCTGATACTAATATAGGAATCTAGTTCTAAAAATCAGTGTTAGTGGATTGATACAGAGAATGTATAAAGAACTCCTATAACTCAGCAACAAGGAAGCAGATAACTCAGTTCAAAACTGAGCAAAAGACTTGAGCAAATGTTGATCCAGAGAAGATGGCAGATGGGCAAAAAGCCAATGAGAAGATGCTCACCATTACTAATTATCAGCGAAAAACAAATCAAAGCCATAATATGCTAGCCAGTTACAGAGAAGCAGAGCCAGAGTGGGAGAGAGGGAGAGAGGTCCTCCATCCGCTGATTCACTCCCCAAATGGCCGCAACAGCTGGAGCTGTGCCAGTCTGGAGCCAGGAGCTTCTTCCGGGTCTCCCACATGGGTACAGAGGCCCAAGGATTTGGGCCATCTTCCACTGCCTTCCCAGGCCATAGCAGAGACACGGATCGCAAGTGGAGCAGCCGGGACTCGAACCAGCACCCATATGGGATGCCAGCACTGCAGGCGGTCACCACACTACAGTGCTGGCCCCAGGATGGCTGATTTTATTGTTGCTGTTGTTGGTTTTTGTTTGTTTTTAAATCTCAGGAAGTATTAAGTATTAGTGAGAGTGTGGAGAAATTGAAACCCTTCTGCATTTTTTTTTCTGGGAACATAAAATGCAACCACTGTGGAAAACAATATGGTAGCTCCTCAAAAAATCAAACACTGGGGCTGGCGTTGTGGTGTAGCTGATAAAGCCACCACTTGCAATGCCAGCATCCCCTGTGGGCGCCAGTTCCTGTCCTAGCTGCTCCAGTTCTGATCCAGCTCCCTGCTAGTGGACTGAGAAGAGCACCGGAAGATGGCCGAAGTGCTGGGGCCCCTTTAACCCTTGTGGAAGACCTGGGAGAAGCTCCTGGCTTCAGCCTGGCCCAGCGCTGGCCATTGTGACCATCCAGGGAGTGAATCAGTAGATGGAGAATCTCTTTCTGTGTCTCCCTCTCTCTCTGTAACTCTGACTTTCAAATAAATAAATAAATCTTAAAACGAAAATTAGACGTAGCCTACCACATGATCCAGCAGTTCCAGTTCCGGGTATATACTTAATAGAAGTGAAAGCAGGGTCTGACATTGTGGCTTGGCGAGTTCAGCCACATCTCCCACAGCAGAGCGCCAGTTCAGGTCCCAGCTGCTCTACTTCTGATCTGACTTCCTGCTACTGCTCCTGGGAAGGCAGCAGAGGACCGCCCAACTCCCTGGACACTTGCCACCCACGTGGGAGACTAGGATGCAGTTCCTGGCTTCTGACTTCAGCCTGGCCCAGCCTTGGCTGTTGTGACCATTTGGAAAGTGAACCTGCAGATGGAAGATTCCCCCCTCTCTGTGTCTTTCTCTCTCTCTCTCTCTCTCTCACTCTGCCTTTTAAATAAATAAATAATCTTAAAAAAAATAAGAACTTAAACAGATATTTGCATACCTGTTTTAATTGCAGCATTATTTACCATAGCCAATAACTGTGCATTATCTAACAGATAAATATACAATGTATAGTATATCCATTAATAAAATATTATTCAGTCTTTAAAAAGGAAGGAAAATTTGA